CTTTATTAAATAAATGACTTCAACAGATAAAGTCCACGAATTGTAAATTTAACACGCAAATCCCCGAGGTTTAGCGGCGCGCGTCGAGTATAAACGCGAACGTCACTGTTACAGTCTCGTAACTCGGCGACGAACAGCGAGGGCAGCGTAAAAAGAAAAGTTGGGAAACGACCAGCGTCACGTCGCGGCGCCGTCCTGCGTCGAAATTTAATGCGACGATAAAACGTCGCGAGGACACGGGGAAAGGCAAACGGCGTGTAAAGTAGCGTCTGGGAAAAGGATCCCCGTGTCCTTCGGGCACGCGTCGTCCGTCAAGGCATCATGTTACGTTACGTCTCACCCTGACTGACTTTTTTCTTTACGTGACCGATCGAAGTCCGCCCATTTCCGTCCGCTGACGTTTCAAATTCAAGGTTTGATCGATAGCACCCTTTTTTCCCCGCTCTCCTAGATCGCTCTTCTCCGCTTTATCTTTTTTTTCCGCGTTTCAATCCTTATACTCGTGGGACCGTTTCGGAGAAATTCAAATTCTTCGAGACTCGCTGGCTGCGACAAATTATCGCGTACTTATCATGCACTCAGACCGTCGTGCATATCGAAGTAAGTTTGATACAATATCTATTGTCTGTCTTATTGCTTAGTTGTTGAAGCACAATAAATAAATCTACAAATATTGAATTGTCCGGTGTTTACATAACTCACTTGATTCGATCTACGCAGCAAGCGTGATCGACGCATACGTATATACTATGTATGTATTCAATTATGAAACTTCTTTAACTGATAGCGCGCCACGCCGCGACGACGATCGACCTCCTTTTCGGAAACGATCGCGCGACTTGTCATATTGACTAACATTACGATAACGTTATTACATACATACATATATCTTCTATACATAACGTGTCACCGATTCGCGCGACGATCCCGCGAAGAGATGTTTGTCATAAGATTAATAGGTTTGCTCGTCACTATTCCCGAAATAGATATTAGTAATGTTGTACATATTCTTATGTTTACAATACAATATTATTTTTATTCATTTATGCATAGTAGACATAGTGAGTCTTGTAGCATAACTTTGAATAACTCGGAAGTGTGTTTCATGTACAGTAAAAATTTTTGAACAAATATTGCAAGGAAGACATGTACTGCTGTGATCTGTTCTTTGTTTCTTTATCTTTTTTATGAAGATACGAGAGTTGAGTTTTTGTATTCAATATTTTTTCAATAATAATTTATGTGCTTAGTCAATCAGTCAGCAGATCATTGGACCATGCTTCATTGAAGTTAGACATATTCCTTTCTATCCAAAACACTAGCAGGCCTGCTAGAAAATATACCATGCCTAATACGTTAATTCATATAGCATTAATAAGAAGAGAGATATTGGGAATCGTAGCAAATATTAATAATTGTTGGTAAACATAATAATTATTAGTGCAGTAACATTGTTTGAGTAGCTCTTGCCAGATTTAACGCCGCTCGATTATTTCCTGTGGGGAACATTAAAAGATGAAGTTTATCGCGAGGTACCTACGACGACCGAAGATATGCGAGAACGCATCAACAGTGCACGTGCTACAATAACTGCAGAAACACTAGGAAATAT